GACATAAATTCTGACTTGTTGTACCTGACTGTTGCTTTTGGTGAGAAAGAGAGAACACTAGAAAAATATCTGGGTTCCCCTTCTAGAAGGAACACCCCCAAATTTGCGTTTGGCTAAATGATTCTTTTAAGCAAGAAGTAATTTCCCTTTTTACTTCAGACCTGTGCTCTTATTTCATTTTGATATGGTTATTTTGGATTTTCATAAATGACTGAAGAGGAAATTGATTAAAATGATAGAAAATGATTTTTAAAAACATTCCTCAGGGAACATGATTGAGACATAAAAATAATTGCGTGAGATTCATATCCAGATTAATTGAAACTCTAGATACAAAAACAGAGCTTGAGACTTTCTCATCTTTTTTTCGAACCAAGTGTTTTATTATGAGAGCTGATAGAGCAGGCCCTTCAGGCTGCTTTGCTGTGTAAAAAAGCACTATTCTGTTTGTACAGCTCGAGTATAGTTATAGAGCTTTAACCATATAACCCACAAACCTTCATATGTGGTGGCCAGTGTTCGGCCTATAGCGACTCTGGGCAGCCCCCAAAGGTTTCCAGGAGCATCCTTGTAGGTGCATCTTATGCACAACTGCAGAGTTCGTCTTCACTTCCCTCCCACCTTTCTATCCGAGCCTCATGTTTCCCACTTAGCAGCTGCCTTACTTCCCACCCTCTCCCCTCCTCCCACCCTCAGAGGGCCCTTGGGCTGGCTGGCCAGAACCTTCCAGGTCAGTGACTCACCCAGGCCTGCTCTTCTCATAGAGTCCTTGCCCTAAAACTTGTTTTCCTCCTACCCCGTTCATTTCAGATCTCTGTTAGTGTGTGGCAGTTAGCTTCAACTAATACCTCAGTACCTGAAAAATGAGTTCCCTTCCTCACTGTACAGACACAGGGCTGACCACAGCCTGCCCGTGCCATCTGAGGCCTCCACGTGACTTCTTTGCCCAGCATCTTCCTTCCTCTCGTGCATCTCTCTGCCATCACGCTCCTGAATCCTCGTGAGCTCTTTCTGGTCTGCTCCTCAATACCCTGGTCTCAATCCGTTTTTCAAGAAATGTACTCACTTCGTGTATTTTGTGATTTGTTTTGTTTTGTTGCTGAAATTTGGGTAGCTGTGGGGAGGGTACATCCCACTGTGCAGCCTTCCACAATCCTCCTCGCCTCTTTCCCTCCCCACTCTCCCCCGCTCTTACTGGCACCCTAGGAATTCCTCACCTTTGGGCAGAAAGGGCAGCCTCACCCACACTTAGGACCCCTTAAGATCTCAGTTTCTACCTGAAACGGCTCATCAAGGACTTTCTGAAAACTAAGACTGCCCTGTCTATGAAAGGACTATCCAGTGGATACAGTTTCTCATGTTATTAAGGTAGCATAGGTAAAGAAGGTAATTTTGAGGAAGGAGGATGCTTCCCCTGGCCACAGAGGGTAACAGTGATTTAATATTAAAGATTCATCAAGGTGAGCCCAGGCCTGAGCCACAGTGAAATGCAGGGTGCAGACTGTCCCCAATTGGCATTCCTGTTGACAGGCGAGAGGAAGATCCTGGATCACGTGGGGAGGTGTCGAACCAGCATGAAGCTGGTGTCAAGGGAGGTTGCAGAGGCCCCTGAGCCACCGTGGGGCACAGGCAGAGCCGGAGGCTGGAGTGTGGGCTCCGCCCACAGCAGACCGGGCCGTCTCAGTGCGCAGGTGTCGGTGGCACTGCAGTGGCGTTCTGTGGTGGGTTGGACCGTCCTGCCCTTCCGCTGCATGAGCTCTGAAGGCCCAGTTCATGGAGTGAGGTGCTGGAGGGGATCTGGGGGGCCCGGAGACACCGCCCAGCACAGTCACTCACGGGTTACCTGCTGTCCTGAGAAGCGCCATCCAGTGCTGGTTCATTCCTCCCCGTCTCCCTAAACCTGGTGCAGACTACATCCTTCTGAGCACAGCCCTTCCTCAGACCGTGCTGAGTGCCTTGCTCCCTAGCTTCTTGCCTGTGGCTTACTTTCTATTGCTCTGTCCTTGACTGTGCTTGGGCTATATCCCGGGCTCACCAGGCACACCTTTTCCACTTGCAGAGTGACCGTCTGTAGGCAGGGAGTTCATCTGTGGAGCAACAGATGTCCCTCTAGATGACATCCTTATGATTCTGGGCGTGTCTCACAATAACAGCCTAGCTGTGGCTGAGAACCTTGGCTGGGGAGCCAGGCGGCCTGGGTGGATTCCCAGACCTGTCACTGACCAGCCATGTGACCCTGGACAGTCACCTCTTTATGCCTTGGTTTCCCGACGCGGTTGTTCTGGAGATGAACTGAGATAACCCGTGCAGACGTCAGCCCGTGCCTGGCACGTGTGAGGACCCAGTATATGCTGCCTATTACTGTTACTACCGCTTACTCATTTGCAAACCGTCAGGAGAGCAGGTTAGAAAGGAATGGAGTTTATGTATATTCGTGTTTTAATTTATCTTAATTAGGATTGCTAGCTCCCATGTAGTGACCGTGTGTGGCACTTGTGTGAGGTCCAGGCAGATATGAGTTGAGACGTACTGGTCGGTAACGGAGGAGCAGTAAACAGGTGCTCTCGCTCTGGGCAGGGCGGTTGAGTCAGGAGGGGCGAGTGTCGGGGAAGGTGGAGGAGCGCCTGGTCTTTCACACCTGCTCTGTTCTGGCCTCGGGCTGAAGTGCTGGTATTGCTAGGAGGAGGCAGTGCCTGCCCCCCCCCCCCAAAAAAAAAAAAAACGCACACAGGCACACATGCACACACGTAAGCATCAGGTCCCGGGGATGGGTTCCCCATCTTCATCAGGACATTTGCTGAAGGCGGTTATCTTACTCCTGCCCGTCTTTCCCAGGCCTTGTCCAGGCCCCACACAGCCTCTTCTGAAAACCCCTGGGGCAGTGACTGCGGTGGGGTTCCCACAGCCCTCAGTGTCAGCACTGCCCTGCAGCCCTGACTCATTGCCTTTCTGTGCTAGTTCTTATTTTTGTGTAGAAACACAATACTTATCTCCCTGTTTGGACGAAAGAGCATGGTGCCTTGCACAAAACAGTTGCTTATTTAATTGAGAGCCCTATCTGTGCACAAATGTGAGCGTTATGATTTCTCTCCTTTTAGGGATGAAATTGGGAGTACTTTGTGTGTCAAATATGCTATGTGTATAAAATAAAGAGTAAGCTTGGAGACGTCAGGTATCCACTTCACTTTCAGAAGTCACGCACTGTGGGACAGTCAGTCACCCTCAGGAGGAGTTCACAGTGGGCTCTCTCTTTGCTGCGTGGCTTTGGGCCTGCAGCATGGCAGGATGGTGAGAGAGCCAAAACTGTGCCACGTCCCCTCTCTGCCACTTAAGAGCTGTATGGCTCTGGGCAACTCAGCCTCTAGGAGCCTCCGTTAACACATTACCAAAATCTACCTTGCAGGACTATTATTATTCCCAATCATGTCCTTACAGAATTTGGGCCCCAAACTCAGATAATGATAGCTATATAACAGGTCTCTGACATTTAAAAAAATAATAAACTTGAGGAGGTAGGAAAGATTACATGAATAGAGTGTGTATTAGTTTGATCTGTTTGTCATGCTCAAATATTTTGCTTGCCTATAGGATAAATCCACTAAAATCGAACACTGAGTGCAACACCCGAGGATCTGTCCCATTTTACCTATCCCTGTCAAAGCTGCCTCTTTGGCTGTAGTTGGAGGATGCTCAGTCTAGCGCACACATGCTCACCTCCTACCTGCTGTCCCCCTGCCTGGAATTCCCTGCATTATCACCAGCTGGCCAGCCCCTCTCTGTTGTACAAGCTGTCAGTCCCAGCCACTGTCTCAGCACCTCCTGCCCTGAACCTGGCCTTCAGTCACCTCCCTGCCCTGGATCCCTGGAGCACTCACTGCTCCCGTCTGCCTTTTGGCACTTGTTGTATTCACCGTTATTATTATTTGTTTTTATATGCGTTAAGTTCCTCCCAGCCAGTACAAGACCCCTCTTAACTCTTACTCTTTCTAAGATATTATTGTGGAACATAGTGTATATACAAAAAAAATGTGCAGTTTTTAAAATTTCCACCACCTAAGTTAATAAATGGAGCACAGCCAGTACCTGAGAAGCCCCTTTTGTCCCTTCCCCCTCACAGCTTCCCCTCCCCCAAGAGATAGCCAATATCATGAAATTTATATTGATATAGTTTTCTCTTCTTTAGACAGTACTTCTTTTTGTTTTGCGCTTATGTAAGTGAATTCATATGTATGTATTTTTATTTGAATTTGAATTTTTATTTCTTTTTTTCAGCATATTTTAAAAATGCATCCATTCGCTATGTGATCTGCTCCGTGTGTCTCATTCTTATGGAGCCAGCAGGCTACCCAGGGCATGTTCTACTGGCAGAAGTTGCAGGGTCTCAGAGAGGGTGAACAGAAACAAGCAATGCTTTTTTAAGGCACACTGTCCCTTCTGCCCACATGCCATTGGTGAAAGCAAGTTGTAGACGCATGCGCGGTATCAGCGAGGCAGGAGAGTGTGCTCCCCCTGTGGAGATAAGGAGTGGATGCTTGCTGAACAATAACCTGACACATGGTCATTTGGGTTGTTTCCCATTTATGACTATTTCAAACAACGCTGCTGCTATGACCGTTTTGAGTACGTCTCCTGTTGCACACGTGTGGGAGTTTCTTTAGGGCACGTGCCTAGGAGCTGAGCTTCCGGGTTTAGAGCGTGAATATTTTCAGCTTTGCTAGGTAACACCAAATGGTTTTCCAAGTGGTCGTACCTGTCATAGCCACAGTGGATCGGTGTTTTGGTTGTTGCACTGATCCACTGCTACCTTTGGGTTTTTGTGTATATTTAACATACAATTGAATAATTTAAAGAGTATGTCTGAAAATTTTTCAGTGAGCTCTGTTTCTTTTCCAGCCACGACTGCAGCATGGAAAGTATGCTGTTAAGGCTACAGAACAAACTGCTGCTGATCTGTCAATGCTCAGAACCCACTCACGTTTCAACTTCTGTTCACTTGGCAGATTTGGTGCAAATGCGAAAGTTGTGCATTTCCTGGGACGACTCAAACCATGGAATTATACCTATGATCCAAAAACAAAAAGTGTCAAAGGCGAGTCCCATGATCCCACCCTGACTCATCCCGAGTTTCTCAGCCTGTGGTGGGACATCTTCACCACCAGCATCTTCCCTCTGCTGCAGCAGTTTGGCCTTGTCAAAGACACGCGCTCGTACAGGAATGTGGTAGGTTCCGATTTCTTTCAGATAATTTAATGCTATATATTTTTAAACTTGGCATACCAGTAAAGATGGAGTATTTAGTGGTACGTTAAACAAAGAGAAATAAAATTTTGTGGAAAGAAAACAATGTCCATCTTAGAGGGGAGAAATATTACCAGCAAAGACTAAAGCCGGAAGTAGATTTTGTGGCAAATTTCATTAGATCTGAGAGCATAAGAAAGGGTTTTAGAGGTTTTTATATATATCCATATCTTGTAACTATAAAATTCTTAGCCTATTGTGCCAAGAAAAGATTCTGAGATTATTCCTAAAGTAATGGTTTATAAAATAAAGAATGCCCCATTTCATGTTTTACAAACTGCCAACATTTAAATTTACCTATTTTATTTTTGCCATCTGCTTAGAAGAATGTATTTTCAGTGAAAATACAATAACATACAACAAATACTTCTCTAGAATTATTTTGATTTGCCATGTTTGTACTCCTCTGGTTATCCAGGATCTTGAAAAAGAAATCTTGTAAGAGGAAGATGACATTTTAACATTTACACGTTTATGTTAACAACTTGCTTAGCAACTTTTCTGACTTTAAAGGTCTTCCTTTGAGGTTTGTTCTTTTGGAGGAATTGGAAGAGGACGAGAAGTTAAACTTTTAAGTTGCATATTAAGATACAGAGAATAGAACTGAGTGGGTGAATTATAGTCAAGTCTAACTGATGAGTTAATTACTTTGCTATAATTATAAGAGACAGGTTAAAAGAGATCCTTCTCTTGGCTGTGGTATAGATTTTAGCCAGTTCACTTATTGGCGCTTGTACCACAATATAAAAAGGAGAAAGGGAAGAATAACTAACATTCTTACTCTAGTTGCTTTCTCTGGATCATGAACTAACACTTGTACAGCACTGGGACACTGCCTGGCACGTGTAAGTGCTTCCAGAAAGTTAGCTATTCTTATTTAACCCTTGCAGCCATTCTGTCAAGTAAATATTATTGTTAATATCCCCTTTTTAAATATTAACTGAGGCTCAAAGAAGTTACATAACTTCTTTTAATTATGTACCAGATTAGTCAGTAGCAGAATGGGGACTCAGATCCAGGTCCAAGAGACTGTTATCCTTGTGAAAAATATTGTGAGTAGGGGACTCTGGAAGGGCCTCCCTTGATCATTCCTGTTGCAGGTGGAAGCCAAAGGTAGGGCTAGTCCCAGGGAAGGCCTTATGTCGCCTCAGCTAGAACACAGTCCGTGGAATCTGCCCAGGTCCCTGGAGTTCTAGTGTATTTAAATACGTCCATATACACTTATACTTACATGTATATAGCAACAAAAACAAGTGATCAAAACTTTTATTCTACCATTTTCTCTGTTAAAAGCAATACCTGTATGCATTCATTCACCTTCCTATTTCTCTGCTAAGATCTCCAGTACCTTCTCACCTCAGAGCGTCTTGAAGGATAGCTTTGATACTCTTTTGTGGTACAATAGAAGGGAACTTCCTATTCATATGTAATGAGAATCGAATTTAGTGTAGAGTGGGTCTGCTCCATTTCCTGCACATTTACCTCGCTTCTTCCGCAACCCAAGGACTGAGAATTATAAACCAAGGAAAGGTGAAGATGGGAATTGAAACAGTTGTTCAAAACTAAGCAGATTAAATTAACAGAAGCTACAAGAATAGATGCTACTTGGTAATAAGCTTGGACAGGCAGATAATTTGGTGCATAGTCTCAGACCATTTAGCTCTTGCTTTTATAACGTGACAGCTTGTGTATGTGGTGTGGCTCTCTGGTTAGGTTCTTTCTGAGGTATCATTTTGTTTAAGTTCTCAACCTTTCCGAGCCCACACAGATCAAGAATATCATGAGACTTGTGTTCCCTTGTCCATCCATCTTACACTTTCTAATGAACTGTTTGCAGCTTTCAGACTTGGTCTATACACTGGCTTTCTCTTGTGGCTTCTGTAGAAAGGTATGCAGAACTTAAACATTAACCCTAATTACTTTGTTCTCCCAATGTTTTCACTGAGTCAAGAAGTCTTCATTTTGTTAGGAAAAAATCATATGACCCTTGTATTTCTGTGTCTTTTTTTGTTTGTTTCATGTAATGATTTTCAGTTTTTGCTACTTTGCATGATAATTCATCCTGGCTTTTCTCACCTTCTTCAATTTATTGCATTCTTTAAAATGGTCTGATTTTCAGGTCTCAAGGAGTCCCTGATTATGCTTTCCTTTCTAGGAAAATGTCTCAGGAGCCATATCCCATCTGTCCCTTGGGGAGAGTCCGGCCGCAGAGCAGCCTTTTGTATCCTCAGAAGAACGGAAGGAGCGGTGGGAGCAGGGCCAGGCTGATTACATGGGAGCGGATTCCTTTGACAACATCAAGAGGAAACTTGACACTTACCTCCAGTAGAAACGCTGCCGCTTTCCGTGGACACGTCTACTTCACAGGCACTTGTTTCTGATACTTAGTATCTAGAGCTGGGTTAAGAAAGGTCTGTTACAGTTGCTAGAGGCTTTCACTGAAATTCATCAGATGAGGGTTTTTTGCAGGACAACAGGTGAGAACTGGGCAAAAGATGTGAAGTCGCAATTCTGTTGTATGGACAGTGTTCTGCTTTTTAACCCTAGGCTTATTCAGCTCATGTTTCAGAAATTCTCAATTATGCTGATTGCCAACATACGTGGTAAGAGAAACTCGATCATAAGCTATTAAGACGGTTATATCAACTCTTAGAATGTGCCGATCCAGGCTCCACGTCAGTCTCCCTTCAGAATGAGACAAGGTATCTGTCTCCTGCTTGCTCCTTGTACCCTTCACTAGACCTGCATTTTAGAAGTGCCCACAGGCTGCCAGAGTGAATGTAATTCTGCTTTCAGGTAAAGACAGCCTATAATAACACTGCTGAATGATTCACAGACATATCAACAAACGGTGTTAACCCATTTTATTTGCTAGTCTTAGCATCTGAAAATGTTCACCAGTTTTCTGTGTACAGTAAGGCAGCATGCTAAAATGCTTCTTTTCAGTTCTGTATATCTGAAAACGGCAGTGTGTTCTCTGATGGTTACCTGCAGTGGCACCTTGTATGAAAAATAAAGACTTATTGCCATATCTTGGTTGTCTAATTAAATTAAGGATTCCCACTCCCCTTTGAAAAGAATGTGTTAGGGAATTTTTCATAATTTGTAGAATTTGTCATTGTTTTTAAAACCAGTGTAAAACTTGACACTGCTTTTAAAATTGGTGTCTAGATATCTAGAGACATTTAAATCTAGTGTTCTCCAGTGATGGTGATGGATCTGAGAGATGGAGGAAAGTAAGATCAGATTTATCTCATCTGTCACCCACACTGCATCTCCATATTCAGTGGGTATTCAGATTTTAGAATATTGCAACCTTAAAATCATCGTAAGTTCATTGTCAGTCTCTGAACATACTCAATAATCTTTCAGGACTATTAGAATCAGTACTGGACCCCATGTCTTCTAGTGTTTTTATCCATGACTTTATGATAGAAGTATAAAGCATATTTAGTAAATGTACCTATGATTCTAGGTTGCAAGGATGGCAAGCTAGGGAAAGCTAGGATCCAAAATGACCTTTTAAAACTAAAGTGAGTAATCAGAAATAGTTCTAATGAAGAAAACAGATGAGAAGATCACGACAAGGAGAAACTTTTGAGGTTTAATTGGGCAGAAGCTGCAATGGCTCTATGATCTAACCTTTAAGGTCACCCTCCTTTATTTCCACAATATCCTACTGGTTACACAGGTCAGCCCTGTTCAGTATGGGTGTGAATGAATACACGGGGGGATGGAAACCTGGAGGTAAGAATGGCTGGGGGCCACTTTTGAGGCCGGCTGCCACAAGAGCTCAAGAGGAACCTGAGGATTTACCTAAAATTGTAAAATATTAAATGACAAATGAATTCTGAAGATAAAATAAGCTACAGTTATTTGGACTGGTGGAGAATGAGCTGCTGTGATCTTCGAGTACATGAAGCACAACCAAACAAAGATTTAAGTGCCTCTCTGTGTCAGGTGCTGTGGTACAAAGACCCCTCAGGATACTCCCTAGTCCAGGGATCTCTGCATTAGGCTATGAGCTAAACTCCTCCAGTGAGAATCCAAGGCATAGAAAAATTTGTCTAACTGAAATTAAATTCATTACAGTGTAATTTGCATGTCATACATCCTTTATTTCTGGATAATCTATCTGTATAATTTCCAAGTTCATTTCAACCCTGTGTTACTTTCAGAATCCTAATGGTCATAAAGAGAGCTGGTTTCAAGGAAATACTTGAGCTTATTCCGGAAATAACATCTACCAAAGCATTTATTCAGTCATCTTAGTTTCATATCAAACACAATTTGAGCTGACATACACATTTAAGACAGACAACACTGAATAATTCATTCAACAAGTATTAAGTATCTAGCATATTACACATGTGACAGGCATTAGAAATACAGGAGTGTACAAGACAGATATAGTTTCTTCTATTCTAGTAGGAAACATACCAAAAAAACCCTAACAAATATAATTACAAATTATGCTAAATAAAGTACACTGACAACATTAGGGAAAGTCCAACCTTAGAATGGTCAGGAAAGACCTACGAGATGCTGATTAAGCCAGAAAGAGAGGCTCTGAGACAGCCAGAAAGGGGGGAGGGGAAGGAAGAAGATTCCCTTCAGAGGGAACTGTGTGAGCAAAGGGTCTGGAGCGGGCACGAAGGTGGTGGAAGTGAAGGATTCCAAGACTAGGATGGAGAGGTAGGCAGTGGCTTCATAGGCCAGGGTATGGGTTTTAGGTTTTATTCTAAGTTCAGTAGTGATTGAGGTTGAGGTTTTATTTTATTTTTAGTTTTGGTGAGGAAGACTAGCCCTGAGCTAACATCCAATGCCAATCCTTCTCTTTTTTGCTGAGGAAGACTGGCCCTGGGCTAACATCCATGCCCATCTTCCTCTACTTTATGTGGGACGCCTGCCACAGCGTGCCTTGTTGAGTGCATAGGTCTGTGCCCGGGATCCGAACCTGCAAACCCTGGGCCGCCAGAAGCGGAGCGTGTGAACTTAACCACTGTGCCACCAGGAAGGCCCCCATTGAGGTTTTATTAATGTAATTTATATTTAAGTTATTAATGGGAAATTACAGGCACACAATAGTGTAAAGAACCCCCATCACCCAGCTTCAACAGTTATGTTTCATCTGTATCCCCACCAGACTATTTGGAAGCAAATCCCAGGTGAAAAAATTTCTTAAGTATTTCCATATATATCTTTAAAATATAAAGACCAGAGAATTATCATACCAAAAAACTATTAATTCCAAACATCCTTCATTATTTTGTGTAATTTCCACCTTGTTTGTTCTTATGGAGATCCAAGTAAGGCCTATACAGGGCAATTGGTTGATAAATCTCAGATACAACCTGTTTCCTTACCCTCCCTTTTTGTTTGTTGTTTCCTTGCAATTTATTTATTGAAGAAACCGGATTATTTGTTCTGTAGTCTCCCACATTCTGTGTTTTGCTGCTTGCAATTCGACATGCTTTTCCGGTATTTTATATTTCTTATAAACTCATCTGGAGGACCAGATTAAGGTGTGATTTTTTTGGCAAGAGTTTATAGTGGTGTTAGGTACTTCCGAATCTCTGGTTATCTTCTTATGACATTAACTGCCACTGATGATCATTGCCTAGATATTTCATTAGTGGTTATGAAATGGTGATACTCTCATTTATTAGCCGAAATATTTCTATATACTTCTATTCATCAATAGTTTGGTTATACTGAGGTTCTATAAAAAAGGCAGGATAGATGCTTGATTCTTTCCCTTCATTCACTAGTATACAAAATAAGGAATTGGTTTCCTAGCATCCTCCAAAGTAAAGCAAGGTGGGGTCGAGGGGGGTTTGTTCTAGTATCATTATGAATTAACGAATTTTAATACAGTTTCTCATTGCAGTTATTCTTAAAAATGGTCTCACTTTTGTGATTTACGTTTTAAGAACACTGCTTTTGCAGCTGGTGGAAAACGGCTTGAATGAGGACAAGAGTTGTTGGGAAGGCCAGCTAGTTCACTGTGGTGGTCCTGGAGAAAGACAATGGTAGTGAGCATACCTTTCACCAGGGTGAAGGCAGTGAAGTAGCTGATGGATTGGATGTAAAGAGTGACGGAAAAGGAGCAATTGAAGATGAGGGGCTTGAGCAGCTGAGTCTCCAACCCAGCGGCTCCTGAAAGCACCGGAGACTTAATTCTAAGTACAGTTTCCTGGGCCTCATGACTACAGATTTTGATTCAGTAGGTCTTGGTTGAGGCCACTGTATCCACTCAGGTAACTGTCAAACACTCCAAATGACATTTGAAAACCACTTGATACATTAAGGAAGTATTTACACTAAATACAACAGGGAGTCCGATTTTTACAGAAGACGCATGAAGAGTGAGGTGACTGTTGCATAGCAGGGGACTCAACTTCTAATTAGTAAAGGCTTTCCAAAAGACAATGTCAGTTCCTTGAGTGATATAAGAAACATTATCATAAATAAAATATAATTGTATAGTTTACCTTTTTAATGTCACTGAGACTTTGCTTTTTTCTTTATTATTACAAATCCAAAAATGGATTACAGTCTATTTTTATACTTTAGAAGTTGATAACATTTCTCTGAGTTTCAGATGCTGCAATTCAATCCCCTTTAAGTAAAAACAATCTGTAGGAAAGTGAGAAGAGGAAAGATCGTATTTTTTTAGGTATTTACATCTCTATTCTCATCAATCCTATGATGTATATATAGTATCCTCATTTTGCAGATAATCAAAGAATAAGAAAGGTAAATAATCTGCAAAAGACTGATTCAAATTTTTATATGGTCTACCTCCAAAGCTATGCTCTGCATTAATCAAACATATGGTCAAAACAGACTGTGAAATCAGAAAAACCTCTCTATATAACCAGAAATAAAAATGCCAGAAATCTGGGGAGTAACACGATCTATTTATTTTTTCTAACAATTTAATAATGGAAAAGCTTTCATTTTGCTTGCTGTGAAGATAAGGACAGTGGCCTTGAAATAGGACTTGGGAAATACCTTTTAGAAAGGCTTTCCTAAATAGAGTACCTAAAATGTAATATAGGGCCGGCCCCGTGGCTTAGCGGTTAAGTGCGTGCGCTCCGCTACTGGCGGCCCGGGTTCGGATCCCGGGCGCACACCGACACACCGCTTCTCCGGCCGTGCTGAGGCCACATCCCACATACAGCAACTAGAAGGATGTGCAGCTGTGACATACAACTATCTACTGGGGCTTTGGGGGGAGAAAATAAATAAAATCTTTAAAAAAAAATGTAATATAAAAATAAATGGATAAGAAAATCCAAGGATAGAAATTAAGTTGTGAGTTTTGGCTTGGACACGACTCAGCTTCACAACATATAGATTTTGTATAGACAAGTCTATATAGACTTATCCTATTTTCACAGTTCGTTTTATTGGCCCAGAAAAGGCAAAACTTCTGACTCTGCTGTGACGTATTCAGGGTCAACATGTCCCTACAGAGGTGAGGGCTCCTTACGCCTATACTAAGCAGCTCAACTCTTGTGATCGACTTATTCTGTGTTCACTTCTACATTTTTGAGGTTTCTTTCTTGATGTCCAGTCTATCAGCTACCACTTCTCATTACTGTTTGCCTAGAATGAAAATAGGAAGAGAGTCAAATATTCAATAATAGGGCCTTTGAATGCTTTTCTACTGAGTCCTTTTCTACTGTCAAGTATATGGATTTACTGAAGGCTATTATTTTAGCTGGTGAGAAGGCTTATTGGCTTCTGGGTCCCTGGTTGAGATGAACAGAAAACTAGTCTTCGGATAACTGCCTTATTGTTGTGGCCATGCAGTATGCAATCTGAATAATTAAGTGTATTGTGGAACTCTCCATCTGTAGCAGACGAGATCACGAGATTCAAAGCCTTTTTTTTTTTTTAAGAATTGAGAAAAGGTATCAAAGCATCAAATTTGGTGGAGTGCGGGAATTAAACATACCACTCAGTGTTAAATTTTGGTGTTTACTTACTACCTTTTGTTCCCTTTTTTTTACACAGCATAAA